AATGGCTAGTGATATCGAAATCAAAGTTAAAACTTGCGAAAGATGTATCCGTCGGAAGGCCCTCCCTGACAAAGCTGCTCCAATGGTGAGTATTACCACCACCAGACCTATGGAGTTAGTTTGCATGGATTTTCTCTCCATAGAACCAGACAGTAAGAACACTAAAGATGTCTTAGTGATTACAGACCATTTTACAAAGTATGCAGTGTCCATCCCAACCAAAGATCAGAAAGCCACCACCGTCGCGAAGAACCTGTGGGAACATTTTTTAGTCCACTACGGGTTTCCTGAGCGTCTTCATAGTGATCAGGGACGGGATTTCGAATCACGTACAATCAAGGAACTTTGTTCTTTACTTGGTATCCGTAAAGTCAGAACGAGCCCTTATCACCCTCGTGGCAACCCCGTTGAACGGTACAATCGTACATTACTCAGCATGTTGGGAACTTTACAAGCCACTGAGAAACATCACTGGCGCGATTTTGTAAAACCACTTACTCACTCGTACAATTGTACAAAAAATGACGTGACGGGATACTCTCCCTACGAGCTAATGTTCGGTAGGCAGCCTCGGTTGCCTATAGATATTGCCTTTGGGTTACCGCATTTGAACAAGCCCTCTATAACTCATTCTCAGTATGTTAAAGAACTGAAGAGTCATCTGGAACAGAGTTATGACATTGTCATAAAAAACTCTCAAAAAACAGCGAGGAAGAACAAAGAACGGTTCGACAGAAACATTCGTGAGTCCACACTAGGTGTGGGAGATCGTGTTTTAGTCCGAAATCTTCGCTTAAGAGAAAAGCATAAATTAGCAGACAAATGGGAGCAAACAGTGTATATAGTTCTCAAACAGATGGAAAACTTGCCAGTATACACTGTAAAACCAGAGAACGGAGAAGGACCCAACAGAACACTCCACAGAGATCTTTTACTGCCTTGTGGTTTTCTCTCTTCATTAGAAAATGAAACAGAACGCGTTACGAAACCTAGCAGACCTCATACAAGACAGAGTTCAGCCTTAGAACCTGACCCAGATGAGCCACTTGACGAAGAGGTAGATGAGTTTTATTACTCTGATCTTCCACAAGTGCTAAACCGACCATCCTATCAAATAGCGGTCACCTTGCCAAATAGGGAACTCATAGCAGATTCAGGACCGGTAAATAATATTCAACAACAAAACACACTATCCTTACACACAGGGGATCGCAAGGAACCAACCTTAGCTGGTAATGAAAATGCTGAATTGTCCTTACTTGACAAAGGCATCAACACCGAAACATTCTTACCTGACAGAATGAGTGAAACTGCGACATTCTTACCTGAAAGAGTGAAAGAAGCAGCAACATACTTACCTGAAAAAACGAAAAAAAACGAAGTGTACTTACCTGACGTAGAAACGGGGGATGAAACTAACACAAACCTACCTCAATTGGATGGTGTCCTAAAGTCGCAGCAACGTGATGTAAGTTTTGAACCCATCATACACGATCAGACACATACATCTGAAAAGACCAAAGTCTTAGAGAATAGCTCATCAGCTCTGTCGGAAAAAGAGAGCTCACTTCGTCCTGTCTCAGTTGAGAATCAAACCGAAACGGATGAGCATGATACTGTGCAACCAGAGATGTATGTCAGGAGATCTGAACGAAGTAGTCAGCCTCCTCAAAGACTAACTTACTCTCAATTGGGCAATCCACTAGTGACCGTAGTTAGGTCCCTTTTCCAAGGACTTAATAAAGCTTTTATTGACTCTCTTACTCAAGAAGTTGTGTACCCCGTAGAAACAATGCACAGGGACGTGCATGATATTTAATGGGGGAGGATGTAACCCAGAAGCTAGAACCTTAATGAGGTATTAACTAATTGGCTTACTAATATGATCCATCCTCAATTTAGATAAAATATAAAATATAAATTAAGGAAATTAACAATACTAATTAATAGATATCTAATTAACTAATAGATAATTTCATAATGAATTATTGGAAGGGTGAATAACTAAAATAACGAGTTTAATATTAAACATCGGTTAAAACAAGAATCTTGAACATCACTAACAGAAACAGAAGAGGAAAGCTGTATACTATTGGTCCAGGTGGGAATCTGAAATTTCATTGGCTGAGAGAAATAAGTCCCGCCTCCGCGAAATAAAACCGTGCGACGCAGCTGAGCGAGAGGAGAGACAAACGGCTGTGCAGCACGCAGATACAGAAAGCAAAGACTGAGCGGTTAGAGAGAGAGAGAGAGAGAAAAAAAAACAACGGTCGAGGCCGTGAAGAACCCTGATTTGGGTGCCGCATAGATAGAGGGAGAGGCGGACTTGACTCCTTCTAATAAGAGCTAGGAACTTGGAACCAACGCGGTGAGTAAAGAAAAAAGAAGAGAAAAAGCTAACGATGCAACTTAAAAAAAAAAAAAAGGAAACTTAAATAGCTTATCAAATTAATTCCATTCTTATAGATTTGCGTGGAGACGACAGAGTGAACCAATCCTCTGTAGGAGGGAACCGTTGGAGCGCGTTGGTGAGTGAATGAGATTAAATTCAGTAAATTATTAAATTCAAAAAGCTAATTACAGCAACCGAGGTGACAGCAGTGGGTTGCTAGACGTTAGATCCCAGGAGTTAACATCTCAAACTACCAGTTAACGGTGGTAGGGCATATAGGAGTTAACGGCTCAAACCGCCAGTTAACGGCGGTACGGCATATGGGATTCCCAGGAGTTAACGGCTCAAACCGCCAGTTAACGGTGGTACGGCCTAGATGTACAAGGTCCTCAGGGGCGTTATAGCTAACGCCATAGAATTAGCAATGCGTCCCTTAACCAAACATTTAATAATAAAAAAAATAGATAAATAAAAATAAATAAAAGCTAACTGATTAGGGAGGAATTATTTTACAAAGGTGGACCAAAGGACCAGAATTTATATTTTGTTTAATTTTGTTATAGAAAATTTTATTTATTTATTTATTTGTTTGTTTATTTATTTATTTATTTATTGTGTTACAGATATACAAGGTGTCACAATGCTGTATAGAAACACAACTAAATGTATCCTTGTTGTCATGAATGTATTTCTTGTCGAATAGTGTAGAGTAATAGAATCTAACTGAGCCTATTGAGCTGAACAATTGTTGTCATATGTAATTATATTTCCAGAGCTACTGAGAATTATTTTAATAGACAATCAAATTGATGTTATGTTAGTTGAACTGTGAACCCAAACATGATTGGCTATGCCAATAGAGTGAAGCATTTGTTTAAGTCTGTAAGACTTTATGCTGTGATGTGACGAGAAGGGTCGATGCCAACTTGCTAACAGTCCTGTTGTTTACAGGCTGGGTTTTTTTTTTTTCCTTGGGTTTGATCCCGACTCCTATGATCACTCACTTGGAACGAGAACTGGATTTCTTCCTGACGAGGGAGATGGCGAGCCTTGACCACTGAACGAACCAGGACATCTCAAGTAATTGAAGAGCAGACTGCTCTCTTCTGTGAACAATCTCAACGGTGTGGTAGGAAAAAATCGCACCACCGGACTCTGACTTTCACCCCAAGCGTGGGGATTTGACTTGACGCCGGCTGACTTGTGACTCATATGATCAAATCTCATACCGACCAATTTACTATTGTCGATTGTTTTCATCTGTTTTTGTGTGTTATCTTTATGTGTTATATTTCCCATTATTATTAAAATTTAGTATATAAACCGTTTCATGCTATACCCGTGACTCCAGTCATTCTTAAACAACCTCCAATTCTCCCCGAACCTAATTATTGGCCCATTTGTTTATTTTTTCTTTTAATTATCTTATTGTATCCTGTAATCCGGTTACATAAACAACGCCTGACGCCGTGTTTCTGCGTTAGCGTTATAGCAGAGAACATTGTGTCATCAGTCAGATGTAGCTTCTGAAGCCTCTGCTAGTCGGCCAGACTTGTTTTTTCTCTGGGAAACGGCGACGAGAACGGATGTTAGATTACTGGAGAAGTTCAACCGAACTCCGACCCCGCCAGCTGGATATCACTACCAGAGGTGCAGACATGCTTTAGACCGTTAAAAGACCTGCGACCCGATTTGGACATAGAGGAGGATTCTGTTCATCTTCAGAACCAAAATCAGTTCAGTTTGTTTACTTTTATATTTAATTTTTCATGTCTGTGCTCCACTGGGAGCTCTCAGCTGGTCTTAGCTCCATCACGTGTCCCAATATAGTTCAGTAATCTACAGTTTTACTGCTGTGTGTATTTATTGATATAACTCTGGAAAATGTTTAACCGACAGTTTACCAGAATAAATCGTCCTGATGCTGGAGTAACTCCTCAGCTCAACTCGTTTTCTAATCCAGGATGTCACGGAGGTTCTACCGGTCCACGGACGATCTAATGTTGAAATGTAGAGGTCATCTTTTACATCATATGTGTGTGTGTGTGTGTGTGTGTGTGTGTGTGTTGTAGCTTTCCCAAAGGACTTGTTCTTTCCTTACAGGAGCTAACACGGTTAGCATCTTTGCTGCAGTCATGCTAACGGGACTCGTCTGGAGTCCAGAAGTAGCGGTGCGGTTCTAGATGGATTTATAGATGTAGGTTATTATTTTAGATCAGACCTGTTATTTAAAAATGCGTGTAGGACACGGACACATGGCTCAGACCTTTTGCTGCCGCTGTAAATGCAATTTTACGTAATAATTAGGAGCATGAAAGTAAACAAATAACAGTGATTCACAATACTAGCATCAGCAGCTAGCTTGTTTTACGTGCTGGAGCGACGTATGCGAAACACAGTTCTTCACTGTCTGCAGGAGAGGATTTGGATTTTCTGTAATGATTTATGACAAAAGTCCTTAACAAAATAAAAAACTGAACCCAATACATGTTTATATAGATGATAAAGTGTAGTTATTTTGCATTTCTACTATTTTAATGCCGAGTCTGGCCAATACCTTTAACAAACAACCCCAAAGGATCATCACATCTGTCAGCACTAAACTCACGGTGTCATACAGGCTGCCATTGACATCGGCTCCATAAATGGGAGGATTAAACGTCACATTTTTCCAGTATTTTCTTTCCAGCTCCTCGAAGTCATCATAATGTGGACTACAGAACCTATAAAAGCATCAACAGCCATTATTACTACAGGTGCTGAGAAAACGGTCGAGCTTGTACAGGTGCTGGCCAGTAAATTAGAATATCATCAAAAGGTTGAAAATATTTCAGTAATTCCATTCAAAACGTTAAACTTGTACATTATATTCATGCAATGCACACAGACCAATGTATTTCCGATGTTCATTACATTTAAATTTGATATTTATAGGTGACAACCAATGAAAACATCAAATCTGGTATCTCAGAAAATTAGAATATTCTAAAGGCCAATGAAAAAATGTTTGTTTCTCTAATGTTGGCCAACTGAAAAGAATGAACATGAAAAGAATGTGCATGTATAGCACTCAATACTTAGTCGGGGCTCCTTTTGCCTCAATAACTGCAGTAATGCGGCGTGGCATGGACTCGATCAGTCTGTGGCACTGCTCAGGTGTTATGAGAGCCCAGGTTGCTCTGATAGTCGTCTTCAGCTCCTCTGCATTGTTGGGTCTAGCGTATTGCATCCTCCGCTTCACAATACCCCATAGATTTTCTATGGGGTTAAGGTCAGGCGAGTTTGCTGGCCAATCAAGGACAGGGATACCATGGTCCTTGAACCAGGTGCTGGTGGTTTTGGCACTGTGTGCAGGTGCCAAGTCCTGTTGAAAGGTGAAGTCTGCATCCCCATAAAGTTGGTCAGCAGCAGGAAGCATGAAGTGCTCTAAAACTTCCTGGTAGACGGCTGCATTGACCCTGGACCTCAGGAAACAGAGTGGGCCAACACCGGCAGATGACATGGCACCCCACACCATCACTGACGGTGGAAACTTTACACTGGACCTCATGCAACGTGGATTCTGTGCTTCTCCGCTCTTCCTCCAGACTCTGGGTCCTTGATTTCCAAAGGAAATGCAGAACTTGCTTTCATCAGAAAACATAACTTTGGACCACTCAGCATCAGTCCAGTCCTTTTTGTCCTTGGCCCAGGCGAGACGCTTCTTGCGCTGTTTCTTGTTCAAGAGTGGCTTGACACACGGAATGCGACACCTGAATCCCATGTCTTTCATGAGTCTCCTCGTGGTGGTTCTTGAAGCGCTGACTCCAGCTGCAGTCCACTCTTTGTGGATCTCCCCCACATTTTTGAATGGGTTTGTCGTCACAATTCTCTGCAGGGTGCGGTTATCCCTAGAGCTTGTACACTTTTTTCTACCACATTTTTTCCGTCCCTTCGCCTGTCTGTTAATGTGCTTGGACACAGAGCTCTGCGAACAGCCAGCTTCTTTAGCAATCACCTTTTGTGTCTTGCCCTCCTTGTGCAAGGTGTCAATGATTGTCTTTTGGACAGCTGTTAAGTCAGAAGTCTTCCCCATGATTGTGGTGCCTTCAAAACAAGACTGAGGGACCTTTTAAAGGCCTTTGCAGGTGTTTTGAGTAAATCAGCTGATTAGAGTGGCAGCAGGTGTCTTCTATATTCAGCCTTTTCAGAATATTCTAATTTTTTGAGATACCAAATTTGGAGTTTTCATTAGTTGTCACTTATGAATATCAAATTTAAATGTAATGAACATTGGAAATACATTGGTCTGTGTGCATTGCATGAATATAATGTACAAGTTTCACGTTTTGAATGGAATTACTGAAATATTTTCAACCTTTTGATGATATTCTAATTTACTGGCCAGCACCTGTACTCCTGCAAACATGCACTTCTTACTTATCACTGTTGGCAATCCTGCGAAATTCTCGTACAGTCATGGACCTCTTCTGGATGTTGTACTGAGTAAAAAGGCCCGACTGGCCGGTCACCACCTGCTGGATGGGAGCTGGGATCACCAAATCATCTATATCATCATAAGATCCACGGGGCTTCCATTCCTTTGGGGGAACAATCTAAAAAAAAAACCTGCGTTATTTTGGATTCTGTTCGTCTACGACTGTTGCACCTGCCAGGGTAGCATTAGCCGCGTTTCCATTATGGGAACTTCAGGTAGATTTACAAGAACTTCCCGACAAGCGCGTGTCTCCACTTGAGCGAGCCTGCTAAACGGACGTTTTCCAGAACTTTCCGAGTACCTGATCAAGGGTAGGTACTCGGAATGGCCCGGTGGAGAACTTAACTCACGCTGATCGGTTGTAACTCAGTAGGAAATGACATCAGCAACCGGCAGCAGTAAAATGAGAAGAGCTGCTGGTGAAGCAAAAGCACTAAGCACCGATAACGGGTAAAATCAAACTCCCGACACCGGAAAACACGGAGCACGTCCACCACAACAACGTAATTAACAGGGCCGTGTTGTCTCACAGAGCGCCGTAAAAAACGGCGCTTCTTTGGGTCATTGAATGCCACATTTTACATCACACAGCTGCTGCTGTCCTCTGAAAGCAGGGTTGTTCTTGGCTCAGACTGAGGCAGAGGTGGTACCATCCTGACCGTGCACCAGCACACGCGTACTCTGTGCATTCAACTGCTTCACTTTTTTAAAGGCCAAACATTTTTCGTTAAGTGTTCTAATCTAAGCTTCTGTTGATTAATAGAATATTCCAGTTGACAACGTTTCAAGTGAAACAAAATATTATACTATAAAATATATAACATGCATTTGTATTGGAAATGGTAATAACATTTAATTCTGCTGTTAACTATGTACTGATGGCATGTCTACTATGTACGGGTTGGCAATAATCCAGTTTAACTTATGTTCAAGGACAGAAGCGTTTGAGATTTATATACTACAGCGGCTTGCCGTAGCCTTGTAGCAGTAATGTGACTTGTATCTGCAGCGGTTCTGGTCCGTAGCGCTGCAGGATGCAGAATAAACAGGATGGTGGCGACTTTTCATCTGCTTGTAGAGTTTAGTCTTTCTTAGTTTTACCATCATCATATACTTTTCTGTGCGCCGCTTGATCGTGAGACTGCTACCTGTTAGCTTTAGCATTAGCCAATCTGGTCCCAAACTTTGGACCGGTTGTGCCTTTGCTGGTTCCTTTATTTTCCTCCACTGCATCCAGATGACCACACTGTGTGCCAGTAAAAAGCATTTTTCTTACTCGTAACTTACTTTTGTTCAATAAAGTTCTGGAGAAACTAGTAATTCAAAGATGTTGCACCCGACAGACAGAAGTCTGTGGCAGTGCAGAGACCGCGCCGTACCTGCTTTATAACAAATGGACGCCGTTGCTTTGTAAAAATGACTAACAGCTGAGAGGACCGGGACATCGTATCTCTCGCCCAATTTCTCCCTCCCAGAATATACCCTGAAGTTCCAGCAATGGAAACACGTATTTACATAGGCAATGTACCTGTGCTAATCTTATTAGATGATACTTACTTTAGCCAAGCCTGCTTTATGAGCTCCCTTGGACTCTATAAATGCAACGTAGCGGCTGAAGTTCTTGAACTCGTCGACAGTGGGGTAAAATGTCATTATACCCTTGGTACCAAGGTTTTGGGAGACCGCATCTGACGCCATCCTTAACTCAGTGGTAGCTTCTGCACAATGTGAATATAACAAAGACGTTATTATATAATGACATGAGCAAGTCCTTGGAAAATAAAATCCATGACACCCACCACCCAAAGACTGCACTTGGTGTTTTAGTCTGCAGTAAATGATTGTTGCTGTAACAGGACTTATGCATTTTAACCATCCAAAAATATATATGGCTTAATTTTACACAACAGAAATACATTCTGAAGTAATGGTCTTCTGCAACAAATGCTCACATTTTCCTTGCGTAAATAACCAGCTAAAAGTCTCATTTTTCATCCGATCACAGATGTCCACAGGTCACTCGTGTGTAATGAAATACTAACGATACAGCCCCTCACCTTGATGTGAAAAATCCCATTAGTCGACCTTCATAAGATGTGTTGCTTCCTGTAAAACATATACACAATATAACTGAGATTTGTTGTTAAAGCTTCCTAACGAGGTTTTTATGAGTCTAAAGTGCTTTTACATTTTCCACCTTGGCAGATTTTAAGTCTAGACTAAAGACACACTATTTTACCCTTGCTTTTAACAGTTAGCTGTTAGTTTGGTTTTTACTACTCTTATTTTATCATCCATTGTAAGGTTTTTATTGGTACTTTTTTATCGACTTGTCTTTTTTATTGTTGGTTGTATTTTATAGTACTGTTTTATGTTTTCTATCTCTGTTATTGTGCGACTGTTCAGCACTTTGGTCAGCCGTATGGCTGTGTTTTAAAGAACTGTATAAATAAAGGTGGTATGGTACATTTTGTTTTATGTTACTGCTGCTTCTCCAAGTCACAAAAATGCAAATACAGACGGTTCTGCTTTTAGCCTGAATAAAGAGACTCGTAAGACCATCATCTCTGGATGTGAGCTGGTCTCGATGGTGCTGCTTCACCCATCATCCTGCCCTGACTGCTTAAATCCGGCTCTCTTTAATTCTTCTGCCCGAGTGCAAAAGCCCTGCTAGCTAAAGGTGCTAAAGCAACATGAGCTAAATCGGGCAGCACTAGGCTGCAAAACCCAACGTACCATTAGCTAACCTTCCCTTGTGTCGACAGACAACAGCGAAAACGAGCATTATGATCAACTTTGCATTCTCCCACTTTTACCGTGAGTCCGACTTCTCCTTTTAGCCTAAGAAGTCCGTGATAGGAGGAGACTATCACCTGCTTCACACGACTTCACAGCGGTTACGTTGCATCCTGACACTCATTTCTAATGTATTGTTTAAAAATTGACAGAGCTAGCTCTAGCTTTATCATTTTAAAACAGAACTATATGAACATATACAAATGCTAAGATTATCTTTCTATCGAAGAACTGCGCCGGGGACTTCAAACAACAGTAGATTCATACACTAAGCCGATGATGTCTATATCAGGAAATACACTGCCCCCACAGCTTAGCATCTACCTTGGCTGCTCATCTCTTCTAGCCAAAGTGTTGGCCTTGTGATTTAGGAAAGTCCCAGAGACATAAACATGTAAAGACTCACGTCTTGGCCTAAGTTCAACCAGATGTTGTTCTTCGTGTGGTAAATAAACTGTAATGAATCGAAGAGGCAGTAGGGAGCATAACGGAGAACAGGCAGCTGGCTAACTAACTAGCCCCGTGAATACGTCCAATCCTCCATTACATCTTCTACGCATGCCCAGGCAGGCCAGCTCGCGGCTTGTTTACCATAACACGCATGGACTCGCTCAACCAATCAGAGAGCGACTGAAATTCAACTTGGACACGTTTAACCAATCAGATCCCAACTCTTTACACACTTTCAGCACGAGTTACGTTAATATTATTAAAGTTAATATTATTAAATGAACATAAAGGACAAAATAGAAAAGGAGGATAATTTTAAATGAACAACGTCTCCTAACGTGCATGCGCAGGGAAAGCCGAGTCAACAGTGTCGCTACTTGACTCAGGTGACGTAAGGGTCGCTGTAGCGCGGTGCATGATGGGATAGCTAGGTGTATAAACAAAGGAAGCAGCGGTGCTTTGTGTGTGGTGAGCCTATTAACCTGCAGAGAAGATGGTACAGTCCTGCTGTGTGAAGAACTGCCATGCTATCTGCACAAGAAGGCAAAAAAGTTAAAAGTAGGCTGGGATCGTGTTAATCTTCCGTATTTGACTGTTAGTTTTACAAAGTAACAAAATCAATCAAGGAAAGATTCCCATCAGAACATGTGAGTATCATCTCAGACCTGGACTCCATGATCAGTGCAACTCTCAGCGCCCTGATGAGTTGTGGAGGGCAGCTTGGAGTCTGGGTCACAGGTCAGCAGCAGAACACAGGCAGCAGGTCAGATGTTCCTGTAGTTTGATTCTAACTTTAATATGATGCTGGACAGCTTTAGACTAAATATTAATAAAAATTAAGTTGTGAATTTTTATTTATTATTATGTGAGAAATGAAAATGATGATGATGATGCTTTTTAAACAAACATGTCTGGTTTCTGTACCTGCTGTAACTTTACTGATAATAACTTATTTAATTAAGGCTCATCCAGAAGTAGTGAGATGTGCAGCCTGTCCTTTTTCCATTTACGTTCCACAACTCTGCATCAACGTCAGAGGGCATGGGTGTTATCATTTAGCCAGGGATAAGAAATGTTTTTTACGCCTGATTTTTAGAGGTGCAGAACAGACCATGTAGGCAGCTTACGAGAGCACCCACCCCGACACATGTGGAGAGGGAGGAAGAGGCTGATAGGCCAGATTCCAGATTAGATGTCAGCATGGCAGAGGTGGAGGGAGAGATGTACCGGGCAGTAGGGGTTGTATGAACTAGTCGACTAGTCGACTTCACTGCTCTGTAGTGACTTTTTATGCCTTTCAGTGACTAGTCGTGATAATGAGTGACAAGATGCAGTCCTCGGAAAAGACAGCAGGTGACAAGCCCCTGCGCATCGGGAGGCAACGCGCTGTGCCAGAGCGTCGGTACTGATGCCCGCCGTAAAACGGACATTTAACCAAATTGTGACGTTTACCCTCTTGCAATTTAACCTTCCCTTCACCCCCATCCTAACCTAGCGTGCACATGCAAAGCCGTCCTGAGCACGGCCACAGTAACATCAAATTAGTTGTCGCCACCTCAAAAACAAATTTAACACGCGATCGTTCATGTCGGCTCATTTCCTTTTATGTTTTCTGTCTTTTATTTGTGCCTGATGCGTTTCGCTGCTGTGGAGCGGGGCGCACCACCCGTTTTGTCCTCCGGTGACACAACTCACCAGTGCACTCCGCTGTTTTAGCGGTCGGTAGATCTTTTAGAACTGCAGTTCAAAGGTAACTCATGAGGTGAATATATATGAACCCAGGTAGCAGTTTCTCTTTAGGATTGAGAGGAGATGCAGGAAGATAATAAACAGGCAGGACAGAAAAATAGTCAAATAAAAACAAGTTAGTTTTTGTACCTGCTGGTTGCAACAAACAGACATCATTGAAGGTAATCAGAAGTGAGGAACAGAAAATGAAATAATTATTTTAATGTTTAGAGCAGCAGGAACTCCGAGAGGCTGCAGGCACACTGCACATGGGCAGGGGGGAGAGAGCTGAAGTGGAGCAGTATATATACAGAAACTATTGTTGTTAAAAGAGATTTGTTTAACTTTGAAAATGTGGGCGCAATTTTAATTGTCCAAAACTCCAGCGAACCCCCCAACAAAATACAGGTATACAGAAAGTGTGGGAAAATGATAATGTGAAAGTATTGCTCTTTAAATGTAAAACTATTCATCTTTAAAAAGAAAAACTCTAAAAATGTCCTGTACAGCAACATGACAGAAGAAAGGTGGTCTGTCTGTCAGAATGTGCTGAACAGATTTGCTCTATCAAGAGGAGCGTCTTGTGTACGAGTTTATGTTATTGTAATATTGGTTTGGGTTATGTACCTGTGACACGATCCAGGTGGAATGGAAGGTGCCACTAGTATTAAAAGGATTAAAATAGGTTATAAAAAAAACAAGGCAAGCAGTACGACAGCCAAAGCAACTTAAAAAGGGACATTTATTACAAAACCCTGATGATGACGCCAAGGAAAAAAAGCATTAAATCGAGTGTGCGCAGGGCCCCAAGGGACAAGGCGGTCCAGTCCGGCCCTGCTGAGCTCTCGACCAAGGAACCTCCAAGGCTGTCGTCGTCTGGGAACCACAGGATCGCCGCACGGTGGATCCAATCCGCCTCCTCCTCGGCCCGGCCCCTGTGGCACACAACAACTCCGGCAGTAAATAGGTCCCCGGCACCAGACCACTCAGAGAGAGAGCAACTCTAACACTGCCAGGCACTGATCAATTACTTACGCGCGGGGGCAGAGTAACCCCCAAATTCCACTACCTCCGCTCCGCTCCGGTCTGCCCCCGCCTTCCGCAGCCGCTCGCTTCCGAAATCAAATTATACTGGTACCCGCTCTACAACGGCTCCGCTCCGGTGCGGAGACCTGAGGGGGGCAAACAAGCATGCACGGGATTTTCGAGATCTTGCGATACAGTCCGAGCAATAAACGCAGAAGTTAGATCCAAACACCCGTTGTGTGGGAGAAGCATCGGCATGAACTGTTTAATCTGCCCATCATGTGTGTTGAGAGATCAGCAGTGTTTGGACCAACAAAGGGTGACTACTTTGATAGTGGAAACTGTATTTATGGCTTATTTTTGTGCATTTAAACTTCAGCCGCCATTGATAGTTGTTAAAAGTTGTTAAACCTGTGCATATGAAACAAAAAACGCCTTTTGTTTATCGATTTATTTTGAAAAACGGAAGTTGTGCTCGCTCCTTTTCCTGTTGGGTGGTTGTGATTTCTGTCCATTTACTGCGGAGGTGCTCCGGCATCCGGCGAAAATAGGATCGATTCTATTTTTGCCGGACGCCGGAACAGAGGGCGGCGCACGGCGCCGCACTGCCGGAGCACGGCCGCAGTAGTGGAATTGCTCTGATTGACTACAACGGGACCGATTTTGCTCCGGCGTTCGTGTCGGAGCGGAGCGGAGGTAGTGGAATTTGGGGGGACGCTCCTATGGAGAAACCTTACATTAAGTTTCCCTCTGGGATCAATAAAGTATTTTTGAATTGAATTGAATTGAATTGAATTGAATTGAATATACAAGCGCGGGTACTCACACAGGTGTTCACATGGTGCTCTCATAAGTATGGACTTGGGCACGTTCAACACATGTCGGCTGTGGTTGGCACTAAATGCACTGTGATTTATTATCGTGATTGTTTTATATTTCCTCATCAGGTTGACACAGTGATAGCTTGCTCCTGTTGTATTGCTGTGTGTCTCTTCTTTTTCTTTTTTTTCTCTCTCCTTCTGCAGGTCTAGAAGCAGACTCAGCCCCCCCCCCCCCCACACACACACACACACACAAACACACACTCACACCCCTCCTTTTGTCTCTTCCTTTCTCTTTCACCTCTGTCTCCGTGTCATAGAATTTTACTAATGAATACCAGGAAAATTTACCGATGCTCTTTACCCTAGAAAATTCTCTCCAATTCAAGTTTATTTATAAAGCGCTAAATCGCGACCAGAGTCGTCTCGGACCTTCACACAGTAAACATTCTAATACAGGTCAGCTCATTAAGCCAATCAGTAAAATGTTTCCTATATAAGGAACCCAGCAGGTTGCATCAAGTCACTGACTAGTGTCAGTGACTTTACAGCAATCCGCATACTAAGCAAGCATGCAGCGACAGTGGAGAGGAAAACTCCCTTTTAACAGGAAGAAACCTCCAGAGAATCCTGGCTCAGTATAAGCAGCCATCCTCCACGACTCACTGGGGATGGAGAAGACAGAGCAGACACACACACACACACACACACACACACACACACACACGCACGCACGCACGCACGCACGCACGCACGCACACACACACACACACACACACACACACACAAAGACTAGTGATGTGTCTATAGTTATATTGTGATGTCTTAGTAAATATTCTATGTGGTGAGAGATAAACTTTATTGTATTTATCCTAGTGGATCTATAATTAAACGGGTAAACTAGTAGTAGCACACCCAACGTCGAAGAGAGTAAAATGTTATTATCAGGAGAGGGAGAATGTTTAAGTGGTTAGCAGCAGTAGGGGTTGTATGAACTAGTCGACTTCACTGCTCTGTAGTGACTTTTTATGCCTTTCAGCGACTAGTCGCTGTCACGTGATAATGAGCGACAGGATGCAGTCCTCGGAAAAGACTGCAGGTCAGATCATCAGAGACTGCACGGGGACTGTGGAGGACAGAAACCTTTAAGAGCGACTTGTCAAAAAATCTCAATGAATGCGGCTTCGATCGCAATAAAAAGCAAGTTATGTCCACGATAAACGGGTCCACGGCAGCGCAGAGACCGCCCTGTACCCCCTTAGGACCGCCATCGTGTAATCTTTAACAAAAAAAACAGGATTGTGCCACATTACCGGCACATCTGAGCTCCTCTAAAGGACCTAAGGCTCCTCGATGCTGGCTCAGCGTCGCGGCAGAATTACGGCATTGTTTTCTGAAAGAGGCTAATACATTTTCATTTTTTAATCTGAATGTGAAATCTGGATTACTTGACTGCATTTACACCAAGGCCCTCAGTGTGTCTCGAGCTGGAGGTTTGGATCTGAGACCCGGGAGAAGGTGACGAGCCTCACGCTGTCAGAGCAGAGCTGCTGTCTCTCATGGCTTGACCATCTGGTCAGGATCCTTCCCGGAGATTCTTCCGGAGGTTTTAGGAGCACATCCCACTGGGAAGAGAGAAGACCCCAAACCTGGGAAGACTTTGGGATTCACCTGAAGGAACTGGAGAATGTTCCTGGAAGTTTCTCCTGGACCTGTTCCCTCCATGATCTGACCTGGATGGATACACATCCCTAACCCTAACCCTCTACATAGATAAACTAAATGTGATTGACCCTACTCACCATTAAAATGATCACCAGTAGTAGTGAATGTGCTGGCTGGGGGAGGCGTTATAAAACTGAATATGAACATTGAAGATGGGCAGACACACAGCACATTTAGCTGGAGAACACCTGTTTTATTGATGCCAGGAGAGGCACATTCATACACCGACTCAGAGTCTTTGACAGGCTAGATATGCTCTGCATCTGCAGCGAGGCAGTGCATATGCAGGATTACATTAGGAGATGTAACATTTACACAGGCTGTTAAACACTTGTCTCTGCGAGTTTTAGCATAAGAGGAAGTCCAAGTGCACACTTGTCCACACAGTTGAACCCATCAGCAGCACTGGCTGGTTCGTTATTGAAAGTTTTACAGAGGTAGGAATCAAGTTGGATCCTTTCCTCTCTGTTTTATCCCTGTTGTATAAATTAATCAGGGTGCATCAGATAAAATGCATATTTAACAAACCAGCATGTTGAGCCTAACAACTCAACACCCTCTCTTGGCCACAGGTAGCTTGTTCTGCAAATCATCCAAAATACAAGCAATGCCGGGGTCTGTCCCACCTACTAACATTCACAGAGCAAGCTCCTTCGGCCTGACACACGAGTCCACACAGGTGAACTGAACACACTCTGGCGTTTCCTTTCCCAGCATATGGGCATGGCAGGTTCAGTACAAGCACAAGTTGTTGTGAACGTTCCTGGAGAACACCAACTGGGTACCACACACGCAGGAACGCTCATCTGACCCGAGCGTACCGGACTGGTGAAGTTCCTACACACCAAAACGCTCCTGTGGGTTCTATTGTGAACCCACGCAGGAACCGTGTCTTTGGGTAAACATAGAATAAGAAAATAGAGGAAACTTCTTTATGTCCTCGTCTGTTTACAGTACGCGGGGCCGTAACCCTAACCAGTCCTCACAACCTCTCTGGATAGCAGCTATAAATCGATGACTTAGTGACATTGTGCTTAACACTATAACATGGCTTTTAAATATATGTTTATATCAGATTTTAGAATAATAAATTGGTTTCTGTAATCTAGGGATCTGAGAATGATGCATGGCCATGTTTCATGTTGGTTACTGGAAGTAAAACTAACACCTTTTCTGTGTTTTATCATAAATATCTGTAATTAACCATCATGTGTGCATCATCATTAGTCACATTTTTAATCAGTCACCCACCCGCCAGGGTCTGACTCAGCAGGGTCTCCGTCTTCAGCGGGTTATAAATGTACTTTCATGTTTTCCTGGGACAGCATGCCTCAGACAAACAGAATCAGAAATGCTGCAAAGCTAAACAACCTTGATCAAGAAATTCCAGCATCTCTTGACGTTCACATCTTAGTTTCCGCTTTCATTAGAAACTTTTCATGAGCAAATCACAGACGGCCGTATTCTCCACCATCGAGTTCTTACTTGTTTGCAAATGTGGTGCAACGAAGCACAAACTGGTGAATAAATGAAAAAGAGACTGTGTTTGCATCCGCTCCTCTCGTCCAAAGTTCTGTGCTGCCTTATCTCGGAGCACCAGTGGTCATCCACATCCTTCAGATGAGGCCCTGCCAATCCCCACTCAGCCCGGGAGTCCTAACAACATGCCAGCAGCAGGAAGTAACGCCCTCCTCCTGCTTTGGAGATGAATGCGGTCTTCTTGAGCATTATTTATCCACGGGCCTATTGGTTTTCAGTGTGTTAACTGTTTCACAGACAGGAACGGTCTTTTCTTTCTTGGACATGTCAGGCTCCCACAGAAAAAACTCGTGGAGCAGAGTGTTGACCGTGTCGGGACTCTCCATCATGACCATGTGGCTTCCCTCCTCGATGACCTTCAGAAATGCAAACAGGAGGATCTAGAAACACAAAACAAATACAAACCTTTACCAACCAAAACAGGCACAGAGCACTGTGTGGCACTGACTATACCTCAGCCATGCGTTGGTCCTCCTCCACGGGCACAAACTTGTCACACAGGCCATGAACCAGCAGGACGGGCACCGTGATCTCAGCATGGTAGACCTCATCCCCCTCAGGCCAGTACTGGCCACTCATCATGGCTCGCAGGACGAATGGAGACACGTTGAAGGCATTGCCCTGCTTCAACAGCTGCTTCTCTTTGGTACCTTGGCGAGCAAATCCTGCTCTAAAGGATCCAAAAGAGAAAGGACAGATGAAATTAAAGATCTTTGGCTGGGAGGAAGCAGGGCTTTCTTCTGCTGTCATGTCCTTCTAAATGTGCTGAGACCAGTTCCTTCTTGTCTCCATGACCAGGGCCTCATTCATCAAACCTTCATAGAAATATTCCTAAATTTGTTCCTATGAAGGAAACTTAGAACCTTCGGACTAACAGTCAAAATCCTGATGAATGAAACGTGCGGTGGCCTCTCGTACGCACATTCCTCCGCCATCGTTTGATGATAAATCCCACCTGTGCGTACGCAGGTGCTCGTGTCCGTTCTCAGTCATTTACATACAGAAACACCCTCAATTAACCATATTTGGTCCCGCTACGTCCTCGGCACATGGGAGAATCCTGCGTTCTACCCAGAAAAAAGGGAAAACTTTGTTGCGAGATCGAGACGCTGGCTGCCGATGTGCAAAATAACCAAACAGGTCGCAGAGGTTATAAACACGGTCGGGCCAGAGGAGAGGTTCTCGTCAGACAGAAATAAAAAGTGTAATCTGATCAATTGTAGAGTAACTGGCTGTCATCATGGACGTAATTTTCACTTTAGAAGTGGGGGGGACACGTGTGTGTGTGTGTGTGTGTGTGTGTGTGTGGGGGGGGGGGTCTTTACAGTATGTTCTAATGGGAAACAGGCTTCAACACAAATGGTTGTTTTCTGCTTGGTCCTAGAGCTCAACCAGTGCCAATTTAATATAAAGTATTGGTAAAAAGTGCAGGGGTGAAAACTTGACTTTGGAGAAAGTGGGGGGGACAGGGGGGACATGTCCCCCCCAAAAATTACATCCATGGCTGTCATTTACATTTTACATTTAAAGAGCCGTTCTGGGTGATGTGTTCCTTTTATTTGAAAATGTCTGAGTGCAGCCTCCTCAGTCTGGTTACCTTGACAACAGGCGTGTGATCGAGGAGCAGAGGAGGTTCTGGAGGTTCTGGTCGTTGTAAAATAGAATATGGACTGGAATGGGATTTGTGTGGTTTATCGGTCGCTCCACGAGTCCCAAATCACAGCACAGCTCCAGATGGATCTCCTGTCCGTTACTCAGAGAGCACGCTCTGACAAATCTGGTTTCTAGCATCTTGTAAATGGTTACTTTTCATAAATTGTTAATAGAATACAAATAAAATAATATTGTAGAAGCTTTAACCCTCCTACTGTCCTAATGGGTGGGACATGTTTTAGTGTTTTCCCTGTTCCAACACACCTGATTCCAATCAGCAGGTGATTAACCATCTTCTGGAAACCCAGGTGAGCTGCTGCACAGGTAAATCAGCTGTGTTGGAGCAGGGAACCAACAAAAAGATGCAGGATACCGGCCCTTGAAGACCAGAGTTTGACACGCCTGATAAAGATGAAGGTCTCTCGCTCGCGAGCGTCGGGGCCGGCTTTGTCCAAGTAGAATTGTTTTATTGGTTTTTAAGGCATTGAACGGGATGGCACCAGAATATTTATCTGACTCGCTACAGCCATATAGACCTAGTCGTCCGCTCAGAGAGTCACCATATGCTTCTAGTCCCCGCAGCTAGGCTCAAAACAAGAGGAGACGGGGCTTTTTCGGTAGCAGGCCCGAAATTATGGAATGATCTTCCATTATCTGTGCGACTCTCCACGTCAGTAGAGGTTTTTAAGAAGGCGCTGAAGACCCATTATTATAATCTGGCTTTTAAATCTGTGTATTAACTTTGTATTTTGCTGTTTTTAATTTTTTTATTGGGTTTATATTCTTTTATTGGGTTTATATTCTTTGTTTTTATCTTTTTAGTTTAGTCTTGTGCAGCACCTTGGTGACATGATGTATGTCTGTAAGGTGCTTTTATAAATAAAGGTGATGATGATGATGATGATGATGATGAACTCAAAGGGTGAGTTAGAGTAGCCAAAGGGATAGCGTGTGAAGGTGTAGTGGCCTTTGGTGAATGTGAAGGCTAATTTACGTTGGGCAGACTAATGGGCAGGGATAGTCCAGAATCCAGATGCAATGTCAAGGGTGGAAAAATATTTAGCGTCTCTCACCTTCAGAAGTTCTTGTTCCAGGCAGGCCATCGGCCACTGAGTCAATGGAACCTGTTGGTTAAATTTCCTGTGGCCAGTGGTTGGTCGCCACTTACCATTAGGTTTTCTCACTGGCCAGAATGGAGCCGAGCAGGTGCCGTTACAGGGTTGAATGATACCCTTTTCCAAGAGGCTGTCAGTGCTTTTCTACACAGGTCCATAGCGTCCCAGGAGAATCTTCTATTGACGCATGAAAGTCGGCAGTGCGTGTGGTGGTGTAGGAATCCTCGCCTCATGGATCGTAGTCGCAGTCTAGGGATCTGACTGAAAGAGACTTCTTGTATTTTAGTAGGAGCTGATGTAGTTTGTCTTACTTGACCTCATTCATAAGAGCATCCGCCTGCCCCACGACCTGTTTAGTGTGTGAAAGGATGTCAGAGGGCGGTTCTGACGCATGCTGTGGAGGCAGTTCTGAAGGGGCTGAGCTCGGCGGGGAGCCTGTAGGTTCCCCATGCTCAGGGCCATCTACCGCAAGATGGGGAAAGTCATGTTCAGGAGGGAGCTCAATGGGCAGGGGTTTTTCAAAACACGCCCAAAGTACCCCTTTCCCCCCAAATCGACAACAGGGACAAGACGTTCCAATAGATCATTACCGAGGCTCAAAGGAATGGAACCAAGATCAGAAATGTATATGGGCTGTGTCATCATTATACGACCGACTATGAGGTGATGGAAACAGGAATGGCAAGGTCGTGTCACTTGAAGCATATGCACGTACATTCACTGCACAAGGAACAAGTTCTGGAGGTCGACCTCCCCCACTGGAGGCCAGCCAGAGGCGGTCAAAAAGAGGACGAGACATGAGTATGAGACATGAGAGCGAAATCTGAACCGGTGTCCAGGGGAGCACCTGCTCGAAGGACACAGGCACAAACGGCTTCCCAGCCCCCCTTGTAACTTGAGTTGACCCAAAAGCACCTAGGCTGACAGGTCCTCTGGGGATCCCAGACCATGGGTCGAATCGGCCACTGGTACATCAGGAGCAGGGGAGCATTCTACATCCTGGAAGTCAGAGGCAAGGAGCATGACCTCGGGTTGTAGTTTGGGTCTTAAAATCTGAGATGGAATCAACTGAAGTAAATGGCATAAGATGCAACCCTCACACTTAAATTCTGTACATCCTGTTTTAGGTTGGACAGCTCACGTTTCATTTCAGTTAGAAAAGCCATCAAAACCTAAAACCTCCAGTGATGTCACTTCGTTCTTCTTGGGTCTGTGAAATGTCTAAACTTGATGCTTGTTGAAATGAGACATCTCTTTTTTTATTAGTTGCTTCAAACATGTCATGTTCTGAGGGTGGAGGTGGCAGAACATGTGTGGTGGTGGGTTCCGGAGGGACACATTCAGGGAGGCTGGGGCGGATCATGACAAAACAAGGAGGTTTGGTTCACCAGAACTTTACCTCAAAGGGATTTTGATTTAATTTGCAGTCGGTCGTTGCGACGGTAGGTGGACAAAGGCGTTTTGAATTGGAATTCGGCGGTGTTCATCTCCACGGGGCTTAACGTTGGTCGGTGCTAACGTTAGCTAAAGTTAAAGGTTGGTTTGTTAGTAAAAACCCTTTTGGCTTAATGAACCCTTCGGCTTGAAGGAATGCCTTTTATCAGTACCGAGGCTCTCGCTTTTTATTTGCCGGTAAAATGCGTACTCACTGAATACTACGACTCTGAGGGTTTTGACATGTCATTAATAAAAAGCATAATAGAATGTATTGCAAAACCGTTTGCATACATTTGTAATCAATCATTTAAAATGGGTATTTTCCCCAGTAAAATAAAAATGGCAAAAGTTATACCAATATTTAAATCAGGTGATAAAAACAGTCATCCAACTACAAGCCAATCTCTCTGTTGTCTCAGTTCTCCAAAATAACAGAGAAAACATTTGTAAGCAGATTGGATGATTTCATTGAAAAAAATAATCTACTAAGTGAGCATCAGAATGGATTCAGAACAAAAAGATCAACGGCAATGGCAACAATTAGCATGGTAGAGGAAATAGCTAAAGTGATTGATAATAAAAATAAAACAATATGAATTTATTTAGATCTTAAGAAAGCCTTTGATACAATAGATCACAATATCCTGCTAACCAAATTATATAAATATGGTGTAAGAGGAACAGCATGTAACGGGTTAAAAAGCTACTTAACAGGAAGACAACAATTCACAGAAATCCAAAATGTAAACTCACCAACAAAACAAGTGTACTGTGGGGTACCTCAAGGTTCAGTGTTAGGACCCAAGTTATTCACACTTTACATAAATGACATCAATAAAGTAACCAATCAATTGAACTACACTCTCTTTGCAGATGATGTATATCACAGGGAAAGTCATGGAACAACTATTGAATATGGTTGGAAGTAAACTAGAAATACTAAAGACCTTGTTTGACAGTAACAAATTATCATTAAATCTAAGTAAAACTAAATACATAATATTTGGAAAACAAAATCAAAACAATCTTCCTAACCTAATAATAAATGGGGTAGAAATAGAAAGGGTAAGTGAAATTAAATTCTTGGGTGTCACATCGCACCAAAGGCTGAGCTGGAAGCCGCACATAGAAAACATTAAAACTAAGATGTCTAAAATGATTGCAGTGTTAAATAAATCTAAACATATTCTAAATGGAAAATCATTATTACTCTTATACCAATCATTAGTACTTCCTCATATGATGTACTGTCTGGAGGTCTGGGGAAACACTTACAAATCTCACATAAAACCCATAGTTTTACTACAGAAAAGAGCAATAAGAGTAATCATCAACTCCGATTACCATGCACCAACACACACCCCGTTTATAAAACTAAAAATACTTACATTTACAGATCTGGCCAAACTACAAACAGCACAAGTACTCTATAAAGTACAAAATAAAATATTTCCGGACTGTATTCAGAAGCTATTTCAGGTCAAAGAAACTGAGTATGAACTAAGGGGAGAAGGACAGTTTGTCAGAGAGAAAGTAAGAACAAATGTTAGAAGTCAGAGTCGCACAACAGTAGGAGTCAAATTATGGAATAACTTGGACACCGGAGTCAGGACACGTAAAACTGTACGTCAAGAAGATGATGTCATACTACCGTAACGACCGTATGTGAGCTAGTGTGTCTGATAGATGTGAATGAAAATGTAATGTTCTATGTATTTAAATCTCTGTTTTGATCATCATCATACATGAACTTATTAAGATTGCTGGTAGTTTTGTGTAGTTCTGTCTTTAGTTCTGGGTATTTTTCCTCTTGCTGAATTATGGTTGTTGTTGCTCAATATATTTCAGTTATTATTATCATAATTCTTATTTTTATCTCACTCTCATTTTTATTATTACATTACTTTTATCTTATTGTTGTCAATTTTTTTTAGAAGTAATGTGATTGAGTAAATAGGGTAGGCATAAAAAGCTAGGCTTCAGCCTTTTGGTTACTATAATCGAGATTCTGTATTACCGTGTTCTTTCTTTTTCCTTTTAAATGACCAAAATAAATAAATGAAATAAATAAATAAATAAATAGAATTTAGTTGTTAGTTTAACTACGGGAAAAAAACGTGGCGATCTCGCTTCCTGTTTTCAGTCTAATGAGACGGAAAAACAGCTTCAGACACGGGAGTCCAGGATTTCAAACCGTGAAAATTTTTTACTTTGACCGGAATTATTTGTCCGTCAGAATTAAAATGCAGATGGATCAGATCTGGGCAGGTGTAGCTTTGGCTAACATAAGCGTTCGAGCGTCCCCAGCCCAAGCTTTCAGTTTTTAGAACCAAGACTATGTTATTGCTTTAACAAGCTTTATAGTGGTTGGAATTTGATGAGTCAGCACTCGTGAAGATAAGAGAAGGGAGGCTCCTTCCTTTCATCATATTTACATGTATTCTCAAACATTTTACACAAAACATACAATTCAATAACAAAAACAGAACTAACTCAGTGGTTTGTGGGGAACTCAATCCTAATACCGTATTAGCTGATTAGCTTAGTTTATGGCGCGAGCTGAATGTGTTTTTTTGTTTGGACCCTTCATCTTACTTGAGGAAGCTCCAGGCCAAACACGGCGACAGGCAATGAAGGACACAGGAGGGAAGCTGGAAGACGGAGCAGAGGCTTGGCTCCAGCGCTGTCGGCCCCCCGCCGTTAATCATCACCACCTTGTGGACCAGCTCAGGATATTCGTGGGCCAGGAAGGTGCAGAATGATACTCTGGAGAGGATGTTAATAAACACAGCTAGAAGATTCTCCTGAAAACTGCTAAAAACAAATGATTCATGAAAGCTGCTGACATGTCCTCACCCGTACGAGTGGCCGATGAGAATGTTGCGTTTCCGAGCATACCTCTTAAAGATGGCTCGAAGGTCTTCTGCCAGGGCATAAAAAGTGTAAGCTGCTGCAATCTGTGGAGCACTGCTGGCCCCGTGCCCCGCCAAGTCGGGTGCTATGACCTCATAGCCCAGGCGAGAGAAGAAGTCCAGCTGGCTGCTCCAAATGTCCAGAGAGCCTCCCACTCCGTGCACAAAGAACAGCGCTACATCCGAGTGAGTTCCTTTGCAGCTTGAGATGACTCGCTGTGAGTCAATCTGCACCGTGCGCTTGGCCTTTCGACGGCGGCGGCAAGGAGGCGGAGCAGGTTTCTGCTCTCCGGAGGATAACAGACATGAAGGAGGAGCAGGGTTAGGGTCTGGGGAGGAGGCCAGCTCCACCTCCACAGTGCTGCACGGCTCCAAATCCCCATCCTGACACTGCAGGATTTCAGAATGCAAAACATCACCGAGATTCTCAATCACCAGTTGGCCGTTGCGATACACCGTGATCCTCCTCTTGCAGTGGACGCTGGTGCCGGCAGCAGACCCTGTCTCACCAGCATCACAGTGGACATCCTTCTTCTCCTGGTCTGAAGCTTGCCTCCCTGTGCCCAGGGGCTGACGCTCAGGGACAACATGTCGCACTCGCAGGATCCTCCCGGGTTTCACCTCCATGAACTCAAACCCGTCCGAAGGTTTGGATGACTCCAGAGGCAAAACCAGATTAGCAGTCTTCCCCGTCAGACAGCACAGTATCCCGTCAGCGATGCTGGTCAGCATGGTGCTCTTCTGCACTGTGGAGATCACACCACACAGACAACAGCTGATCAGGAGAGGAACCCAAAACAAGCCCAACATCATGCACGGTACCAGTTAAAGGACAACCCAACCCAATGGTTATCCCACAGCGGAATCCCAGTCTCAGTCTGAAGACTCACAAAAGGAAAAGTCTTCATCTCTCACCCTTTCCCTTCCTCCTGGAGGCCAGTTTCAGTGTTGTTTCTGCCTGTTGCTGCTCCAGTAACACTAATCAGGCCAAGACTGTTTCTTATGTGTCTAGACCCAACCTGTTTCCATAGCAACCGGTCCCTTCCTCTTTAGCTGGCTGAAACACATGAAAGCCAGAGCCTGAACAGTAACCACCACTGACCCACTCACCTGAGCTCCAAAAACCAGCAGCAAGCTGGCTTTCCACCAAGTCTCAGACTAATGTGACCAAAGCTCTCCCGTCCTCACAGTCAGAACCAGGATCTCTAAAAACCAGGAGTCAGATCAGGAAAGCAGCTGGCATGTGTCACCTTTACATCATTCATCTGCTGCTCGTGTGCAGACTGAGTCCGTAGCACATGAGTTGGGCAGGAAAAATAAAACTAGCAGCAGCCCCGGCTCCGTCTTCAGGGTCAGAGCGTCTCCAGTATAAAGGTGTATGTTCTCCCTTCTCGTGTTCTCGGAGTAAACAAGGTTTTATGTAGAAGAACCAGACGTAAGGCCAGCAGCTGGTTCCGTCTCTGAGCTCTTCAGGCACTTCCTTTGACCTCGTGACTCTCATCTGCTCTGCCATGCGTCGTGAGCTGTAAGGTCTGTTATAGACAGGTGCAGCTTTCCTGATCAGGTCCAATCAGCATCATCAAACACAGCTGGGCTCCAGTGAAGGTGTAGGACCATGTCACGGATGATCAGAAGAAATGGAAAGCACCTGAGTTACGTACATGTGTCACAGCAAAGGGTCTGAATACTTGGACCGTGTGATACTTCAGTTTGTCTTTCTGCCGAAACGTCTAACGTTCTGTGTTTCTGTCAACACGGGGAAGAAAACAGGAAACCGATTTATTTACTTGAGTTTAGCAAAAAGCTGCAATAACAAAGAGTGAAAACCTGACGGGGTTCTGAAAACGTATGGTACCCACTGTAAATAGAGAAGGACCCGGCCCTCAAAGAAGAACACGAGAAAGCCTGGAGAGTGAAGGCATCGGTGGTGCCCGTGGTCACTGGGGCACTCGGGCCAGTAACCCCCAGACTGGAGGAGTGGCTACAGCAGAAGATCATCAGACATCTCAGTCCAGAAAAGTCCAGTTGTAGGAACAGCTGAGATACTGCAGAACCCTCCAGCTCCCAGGCCTCTGGTAGAAGACCCGAGCTTGGGAGGATGAGACCACCCATGGAGGGTGAGACAGGAGTTATACATGTGTAATAATCTATGCATATCAGCCTGATTCACCATCATCACCATCCTCATCCTCATCATCCTCATCATCACCACCATCACCATTATCATCACCATCCTCATCATCATCATCCTCATCATCATCATCATCATCATCCTCATCATCACCACCATCACCATTATCATCACCATCCTCATCATCCTCATCCTCATCACCATCACCATCATCATCCTCACTACCATCATCACCATCATCACCATCATCCTCATCACCATCATCTTCCTCGTCCTCATCACCATCATCATCCTCACTATCATCATCACCATCATCATCCTCATCCTCATCACCATCATCATCCTCACTATCATCATCACCATCATCATCCTCATCACCATCGTCATCCTCACTATCATCATCACCATCATCATCCTCATCCTCATCACCATCATCATCCTCACTATCATCATCACCATCATCATCCTCATCCTCATCACCATCATCATCCTCACTATCATCATCACCATCCTCATCATCCTCATCATCACCACCATCACCATCACCATTATCATCACCATCCTCATCCTCATCCTCCTCATCATCATCATCCTCATCATCACCACCATCACCATTATCATCACCATCCTCATCCTCCTCCTCCTCATCATCATCATCCTCATCATCACCACCATCACCATTATCATCACCATCCTCATCCTCCTCCTCCTCATCATCATCATCCTCATCATCACCACCATCTCCATTATCATCACCATCCTCATCCTCCTCCTCATCATCATCATCACCACCATCACCATTATCATCATCATCATCCTCATCATCATCCTCACTATCATCATCATCCTCATCATCATCATCACCATCCTCATCATCATCATCCTCATCATCACCACCATCACCATCAACATTATCATCATCATCATCCTCATCATCATCCTCACTATCATCACCATCATCATCATCCTCATCATCATCCTCACTATCATCACCATCATCATCATCCTCATCCTCCTCATCATCATCATCATCACCACCATCACCATCAACATTATCATCATCATCATCCTCATCATCATCCTCACTATCATCACCATCATCATCATCCTCATCATCATCCTCACTATCATCACCATCATCATCATCATCATCCTCACTATCATCACCACCATCATCATCATCATCATCATCATCATCATCCTCATCATCATCATCCTCACCATTATCATCACCATCCTCATCCTCATCATCATCATCACCACCATCACCATCACCATTATCATCACCATCCTCATCATCATCATCCTCATCATCATCATCATCATCATCCTCATCATCACCACCATCACCATTATCATCACCATCCTCATCATCCTCATCCTCATCACCATCACCATCATCATCCTCACTACCATCATCACCATCATCACCATCATCACCATCATCCTCATCACCATCATCATCCTCGTCCTCATCACCATCATCATCCTCACTATCAGCATCACCATCATCATCCTCATCCTCATCACCATCATCATCCTCACTATCATCATCACCATCATCCTCATCACCATCATCATCCTCACTATCATCATCACCATCATACTCCTCATCACCATCGTCATCCTCACTATCATCATCACCATCATCATCCTCATCCTCATCACCATCATCATCCTCACTATCATCATCATCATCCTCACTATCATCATCATCATCCTCATCATCACCACCATTCATCATCACCATCATCCTCATCATCACCACCATCACCATCAACATTATCATCATCATCATCATCCTCATCATCATCCTCACTATCATCACCATCATCATCATCCTCATCATCATCCTCACTATCATCACCATCATCATCATCCTCATCCTCCTCATCATCATTATCATCACCACCATCACCATCAACATTATCATCATCATCATCCTCATCATCATCCTCACTATCATCACCATCATCATCATCCTCATCATCATCCTCACTATCATCACCATCATCATCATCATCATCCTCACTATCATCACCACCATCATCATCATCATCATCATCATCCTCACCATTATCATCACCATCCTCATCCTCATCATCATCATCACCACCATCACCATCAACATTATCATCACTATCACCATCACCATCCTCATCATCATCATCCTCATCATCATCATCATCCTCACTATCATCACCACCATCATCATCATCATCATCACCATCATCATCATCCTCATCATCATCATCCTCATCATCAACACCATCACCACCATCACCATCACCATTATCATCACCATCCTCATCATCATCATCCTCATCATCATCATCATCCTCACTATCATCACCACCACCATCATCATCATCATCACCATCATCCTCATCATCATCATCCTCATCACCATCACCATCATCATCACCACCATCACCACCATCACCATTATCATCACCATCCTCATCCTCATCATCCTCATCACCATCACCATCATCATCACCACCATCACCATCACCATTATCATCACCATCCTCATCCTCCTCATCATCATCATCATCACCACCATCACCATCAACATTATCATCACTATCACATCACCATCCTCATCATCATCATCCTCATCATCATCATCATCATCATCACCACCATCACCACCATCACCATCACCATTATCATCACCATCCTCATCATCACCACCATCATCACCACCATCCTCATCATCACCATCATCACCACCATCCTCATCATCACCACCACCATCATCATCATCATCATCATCATCACCACTATCACCATCAACATTATCATCACTATCACCATCACCATCCTCATCATCATCATCCTCATCATCATCATCATCATCCTCATCATCATCATCATCCTCACTATCATCACCACCATCATCATCATCATCACTATCACCATCACCATCCTCATCATCATCACCACCATCACTATCATCATCACCATCATCATCATCACCATTACCACCACCATCACCATCCTCATCATCATCGTCACTATCATCATCACCATCATCACCATCATCCTCATCACCATCATCATCCTCACTACCATCATCACCATCATCACCATCATCCTCATCACCATCATCATCCTCATCACCATCATCATCCTCACTATCATCACCACCATCATCATCATCATCATCATCATCCTCACTATCATCACCACCATCATCATCATCATCATCATCCTCACTATCATCACCATCACCATTATCATCACCATCATCATCACCACCATCACCACCATCACCATCACCATTATCATCACCATCCTCATCCTCATCATCATCATCATCATCATCACCACCATCACCATCCTCATCATCATCGTCACTATCATCATCACCATCATCATCCTCATCCTCATCACCATCATCATCCTCACTATCATCATCACCATCATCATCCTCACTATCATCATCACCATCATCACCATCATCCTCATCACCATCGTCATCCTCACTATCATCATCACCATCATCATCCTCATCCTCATCACCATCATCATCCTCACTATCATCATCACCATCATCATCCTCATCCTCATCATCATCCTCACTATCATCATCACCATCATCACCATCATCCTCATCACCATCATCATCCTCACTATCATCATCACCATCATCATCCTCATCACCATCGTCATCCTCACTATCATCATCACCATCATCATCCTCATCCTCATCACCATCATCATCCTCACTATCATCATCACCATCATCCTCATCACCATCATCATCCTCACTATCATCATCACCATCATCAT